TACTGAAAAGCTTTCTTGCTGAAGGCAGCTCTGCCTATCCCAGTCAAAATTTATCGGTATTTTACATTCAGATACTCATGAAAGCAGGAAGTAGAATGCAGATATTCCCTTCTTCCTAACGAATAAGATAAAGCCCCTGGTTACAGTTTCCCCCTGGCTCTGAAATGCTCTTTGAGTTTCAGAATTGCTGACAGTATGTGCTGTGAAAATATCCATCAGAAGGACTGTAACACAAAATTTCATAAACTGATTGTTAGCACTGGCCTATGAGAATCAGTGAAACGAGCTCAAACTCAAGTGACAGTGGAATCTGGGTGTCCTAAATCTTGCTTAAATTAATAGATCCTAAACCATGTCTTCTGCTTGGGGTCTGTGGATAACACAGAGAAAGAAAGAACTTGGCTGTGCTTCCTAGTGCTTCAATAAGAGCTAAATGCCTTGTTCAATGCATACAAAACTTAGGCTGCCCCAGAAACAGACCTGTGTGGCTGCAAAGGAATTTGAGACCTACCCTGTCCCCCTTTTCTTCCATAGGTTCAAATATTCTTAAACTGTCTTTTATATGTTAACCAGTTGTTAACATATCCAGAGCAGGTAACTAGGTATGTAAAGAATTTTAGTCTTAAAAAATGGTCACTTGAAGGCAACTTATTCTCTTTGCGGCTCTAACTCCTGAGATGGCAGTGCTGAAGAAGTTTTTATGCAGCTTTTCCGGTGAGGTAGAGAGAGCAGAGAAGAGCCACCTCAAACACTTAAGTGTGTTTCTGAAGCCACAGCTGCTCTGTACTCCATAGAAGTCCTACCAAGAGATCACATACCAGCTGGGGACTGGCACAGCCAGCCTGCCTGTGCCTGTGCCATGTCCCCTCTTGGCTCTGAGCCTGCTGGGGAGCAGTTGTAGGAAGCTCCTGCCGAGAGCAGGCGAGAGCTCTCGCTCTCACCACCAGCAGAGGATTTCAGCTGGCTGGATCCCAGATGATGTAAGGTAATCTGTTGCATTCACTGCAGTTTTTGACTTCTCCTCATTTGCTATTGAAGATTGTATCAGTAGTTTTGCATCTCTAATTTGTAAGTGATTTTCACTCTAAGCTGTGGGAACAAATAATTCTGTGTGTAACTTAGAAAATGTAGCCTGCGGAGTCTATTTGCAGTAACCATATTAGTTAAATTACCAGTGTTATTAACTGTAAGAATGAATGTGCTTTCATAAATACCAAAGCAATTATTTCTGGTAATTTATTCCACTCCTTACAATATGGCTGCAAGAATCTGAACTAGTGTTTTTCAGATAATATATTCCATATTTTGTGGTGGGGACTTGAGAGAAATTTCTTTTTGCTAGGGCGATTAGCTTATACTAATTTGGAGAACATTTTCAATGTTCTTTATTAGAGTTTAGGAAATGGTGAGTAAAATAAATTTGATTGTAGGTACTCAGCAACGTAACAGCAAACTACATTTCTAGACTCTCATTTCCGTATCTTTTCATTTGGTAAGATTAAAACAGCATGCATAACTTGAGTGTATGTATAAGCATATATACTTTAGGATTATAAAACCAACCCCCACTTTTACAGTGACACCAATTAGATACTTATTTCTGAGTGAGCTGTGCATTCCCAAGTTACTAATCTAGCTAGAGGTTAGTATTGCCTTGGTTGGGTTCATTCAACTGTATGCTCATGTTAACAAGTACCATTTCCAAAATTTAACTTTAAACTTTAATTTAAACTTTAAATCATGTGTTTTGTTTCTTCCTTTTGATTTGGGTCCAGTATGGAATGCAGCAACATGAGTAGTTGAATTAACACAAGAGAGGAGATTTCGATTTCCAGGGAGGAATGGGGGAAAACAGTTTGGCTTTAGTAGAGTGATATGATCTTCAACCAAATGCTCCACCAGCTACAGCTTGGAAGTATGGCACCAAAGACTATTTCTTTGAGCTTAGTAGCTGCTTTGTGGTTTCATTGCTCCTTGAAACCTTTTAAATTTTTAAATGCTGAATTTATGAAACATAAATTATGGATGGTACAAATACTATCTTTGCTTTTAAATTATTTGAGGAATTGTAGGATTATTTTTGATTTATTAACATTTTTCCAGGGACAAATATGTCGCTAGTATTGGGGGCAATCAGGTGAGGATATTTCTCATGTATTATTATATAGTAGTTTAGCCAAATTTCATCTTAGAGAATATTCATGTCAAAAGCAGTGGCTCAGGAGTCACTCCACTCCGATCTGGGTCTTGTGTTAATTCTATTCCAAGTTGCCATTTTGCTGTTAAAATCTTCAGTTCTTACTTCAAGAAGCATCAACATCATGATTAGGAGCTTTATTGATGAAAGGTCAGATCTTTCTCTTTGGAGACCATTCGAGAGTGCTGCGTGTTTCTGTTGAAAATTGGGAAATAGTTATTCACATAACCTCCTTTCAGCCCTCCTTAAATTCTGCGTTAAGGTCAAAATAATTACTGTTTACCACTCGCACTTACACAGAAGTTGGATATACTACACATGCCTAACTTTGATGCTGTATCAAAGCCGTATCTTTGTGTGCCTGTTGTGATGTGAACCAGACCACTTATTTCAGTTAAAATGAACATGAGAAAGTAAAACTGTGTTAAATTAAGGTTTAGAGGATTGCTATGAACACCTGTGCCTCTATGAAGATTTGAATGGCAGTTGCATGAGCTCTGCCTTGATTTCTCTGTAAATTGAAGTGCAATGAATGTGTTCATTTTTTTATTCTGTTCTTCTACAATGAAGACATACAGACATGCTTGTAGTTCAGAAAAAAAATCTGCCTTACAAATTAATAAAAGTTACTGTATACTCCCTCACATATTACCTAATCAAACATATATTTCTCCCAATCTCCCAAATCTTTGAAAGACATATGAAGATCCTGAAGAATCGTACAAGATGAAAATGTTCTTTTAAATTTGCATTAGGGATTTAAGGTTAACAATAATGAATTGAGAATACCCATTATTCAATGAGCCTGAATGAAAAGAGTTCTTAGAACAGAAGAGTAATATCCTGTGGAGCTTCAGAATTGTGTGCTTTTCACATGTAACTATGATGCAGTGCACCTTTTTCTACAAAACTATAACACAATATTTTCCTGGCAGTTTGTGGGAATATTTCTTTGAATTGAGTGCTTATATTTTAGAACTCTGGACCACTGTTGGAAGTCAGCTGTCAGCTTTCATTAGTTGAATATAAATAATAAACTATCAGGCACTTGGAACGGTGCAACCCAAAAGAAATGAAATTGTTGATTTCTGACCTTAATTTTTCATGTGTAGCCTGGTAACATTTTATTTGCATTTTTTACATCAGGTATTGATGGGCATTTTTAGAAGTAATTTTGATGCAATAAAATTTATTTTTTCGTTCTGCTGGGTGCTGAATTCATTTGGGTAGCTGAAGTTCTAGACGTAAATTATTACTTCTATTATTATTACTCTTTGTATGTACTGATTAAAAATAATGATCTTAAGGAATAGAAGGCTTGTAATAAGCAATGTGATTTGAACCACTCATGATACTGCTGTAGAAATGTCTCACTGCTGCTAAATATTGCAGTTATTAATCTTTCTTGACAAGGAGCCAGTGGTTTTCAAGGTATTTTTGGTGTCTAGTTCCCACTTCACTACATTTCCCATGTTCTTTATTTGACCTAATATTCCTCCTGACTGAAGGGCCTGGGAGATTTCAGCCCAAGCTGCAGCCTGTAGGACAGTGACAATGAGTGCACACATGGAAATTGAGGTCTCTCTCCCATTCCCTGTCCGAGGCTGCAGATCCTCTTACTCTGTCAGTCTGGTGCTCACACCTTCCCCCTGGGGTGTGATAGTCCTCATCCCAGGATGATCTTCTTTTGCTCATTTTCTTTTTCAAATCCCTAAAGCTTCATCAACCTCACAGGTCCAGAAGTTCTTCTGACCTCTAGTACATGATGAAGCAGAGAAGGTGTAAAGGGTACCAGTGCTACAAACAACTGCAGAAGGAATTTGAGTCCATCGATATCCCAGGATATTGGATATTACTCTATCCTCATTGTATCAGTATTTAAGAATTGTTATTATTTGTTATAGTGTATTTAACGTTCTTGTTCTTTTATAATATCAATATATTTCACAACACTGTGCCGCGCTCAGAGGTGTATTGAACAGATTAAAAGAAGTCAGTATACAGAATTCCTTACCCCATTACAGGGAACAGCATTTAAAATCAGAAATGGAGTGACTGTCTTATTCATGAAAGAAAAACTGAGGCTTCATTCCTGCTCATTTTATCCAGTTGAGGTCTTGATCAAAATTCCTAAAATGCTGTTATATTGTTTGAGTATTTTTTCCCATCTGTCACATTGCTGTTTTTACAAGTAAAATTAAACTATGCAAATAGATAGAAAAATTTTTATTCTTGGAGGTGATAATAGAGTTTCATATTGTGCATAAAAATCAATACAGTCTATGTTAAATATAAGTTTAAATTTATCAGGTAGTGAATAGAGAAAAAAGCATGGGGAAGGGTACTTGATTTGTAGTTTACTATCCTCACTAATGGATATCTGTAACTTGATTTAGGACATAATGACACAATGTTTTTAAAACAATAATTCATCTGAATTAGAACGTTTCTCTGCAGGTTTTGACATCATGGTAACATTTTAATTGAATTCCTAAGAGGGATTTATTCATCCAGGGAAAATATATTTTAAACACGCTAGACTATGGATTGTTTAAATCTGGTTACTGCCGTGGGCAGACTTGTGTTGTCTGACCTTGGAAAGCAGACGGTGATAGAACTAAGATCCTGTAAGAGATTTATGATGCCGTTTGCCTGTTAATAAAAAATTGATAATTTTTAAATGGAAGTTTTGTTACAGGTGAATAATTTGTGGCTCTGAGTGTGCCATGTGGAGCAGGGGTGTGCACGGTTGCCCAGCTGTGACAGCACAGTGGCACGGGGGCTTCTCTTTTGTCTCCAACAGAAGCAGGGGGCAAGAAGCTGCGGAGCACGGTCCAGAGGAGCACGGAGACAGGGCTGGCCGTGGAGATGAGGAACTGGATGACTCGCCAGGCGAGCCGGGAGTCAACAGATGGGAGTATGAACAGCTACAGCTCTGAGGGAAAGTAAGCAGCATTTACAGCTGTGTTTTCCTGACATTTCTCCATGAAACTGGTCATTAGAGAGAAGCACAGTGAGTGCTGTAGGTCCTGTTCAGTCATAATTCCCTTCACAAGCCAGTGTCATTGATGGACTAAGCCTAAGTCTTCCACTGTGACCAAAAGAGTCTCCCACTGTTGATGCAGGAAGGAGGAGGATCATTTCTGCTGTGCCATGAGAAGGGCACATGGTGGGTCAGATCATCATCATGAGGTGGGTCAGGAGGGAAAGCAAATTACACCAAGTAAAACACAGATATGGACAAGTTCTCTTCCAAAAGCTCCTGGCATACATCAGTGCTATGTAGAGCAAAGCATTTCCAGAGCATTTCCAGGAGTCATTCACTGGGTTCAAGAGTTTTTCAAAGATTTTGCTACTTTTAATCTGAAGAAATTATCTGGGCAGAAGTATGAGTGTGTCATGTATCATGGTTATCATAAAAGCCCAAGTTAAAAACTTCTGAGTGATACATCTGAGACATTGCCCAGAAAAGTTTTATTGTAGGTTGATTTATTAGTGGTGTTCACAGCACTGGACAATACATCTGTGCTGCACAATATATCTTATGTGTCCAAGTTGTTGCCCTATATGCATTTGAGATGGACATTTCTTAATGATTCGTCATTACAAATTTCATTAGTTCTTGTTGCTCTGTAATGGGTCACGGATAGTTTATGGCAAGCATTTTAATTTTAAGTTACTTTGGCCATTTGCCACAAGGGATTTCAATTCTGTTATTGAATAGATGTCATTCTCCAAGACAATTTTAACAAAATATTTTGAATGAATGGCGATTTTGAAAATAGACATTAGACCAGTATTTGGTCTAATGTCATCATTCCACTGCATACATTTGATATTTAGCCATTGAATTCAGTAATTGAGAATTGTGAGCAATTTAACCTTTATGTAACTAAATCAGTGGTAAGGGTGTATGTTAGTGTCTTAATGAACTGGTCTCATATGAATACTTTTTTTAAAATTAACAGTGGTCTTTAATGCATTGGGAAAGGAGAACATGATGGAAGAATACAAATTTGGAAGTTATTGAGGAGTAGTGCTTTCTTTACCTGTTTGTTTATATGCTGGAGGATAAATTGCTCCTTGTTGAACATTGTGGGATTTTGAAAATTTTGTAAGTTCCTTATAGTACTACCAAACCTACAGACAGTAAGTACAAAACATCTAGAAAACAAAACAGAAACCTGAGGCAAAATAAAAAAACAACCAAACAAATAAAAAAACACAAACTAGCAAAGGGCAAATCTAAGTGTGTGTTTTGTTGGTTTCTTTTTCAATATTATTTCTAGTTTGATCTTCCCTGGAGTGAGATTGGCTGCAGACAGCCAGTTCAGTGATTTTCTGGATGGACTTGGTCCTGCCCAGCTTGTAGGACGACAGACTTTGGCAACACCATCAATGGGTAAGTGTTTATGTCCTCTAGATATGATATATTCTATTTGGTCAGGTAATTAGAATATAAAATTTATCTAGATTCACTTTAAATATGGATTTATCTTGTGGTTTTGAACAACTCAGTTAAAACCAAAGCTGTAACCTCGGCCAAAGTTGAATGTAATCATGGATGCTTATGAAGACATGCAAAAGTATAAAGTTGCTTTGAAAAATTCAGCCTTTTCTGAGGCCTTCGAACTCTCCTTCAGTTTTCTATCTTTAAAAAGGGACTAATGACACTAAACTTTTCTCTGAATCACTTGGATAATATTGTATAAAAATTGTGAATTTAGGTGTAAAATATTTGTTATTGTGTTTACAGGCTTTTCTATTCACAAGTTATCTTTTCATAACTTGTCTTAAACTAGAGACACAGTGTAGAGAATTCAAGAAGTTTTACAGAGTTGCTTCATATTAAATCCCTTACTGCCTTTTTTTTTAATATGAAACTCTTAAGAAATAGAAATTAATTTGAAGTAATAGAGGCATGGAAGATGGGAGACAAAGTGTTATTGCAGAGGTTTTAAATTGTTTACTAAGATAAACAGCAGTGAAGATGGTAAATATTAAATTATTTAGTAGTGTTAAAATCCAGATCATGCTTACTGATGGAAAACAGATGGTACAAGTCACCACGTATCCATCCTAAAATTTTGTCAACATTTCATATATTAAAGTAATAAATTCTGGGATTTCTTTTTCTCATCTAGGAGATATTCAGGTGGGAATGATGGATAAGAAAGGACAACTGGAAGTAGAAATAATCCGAGCCCGTGGCCTTGTTGTAAAACCAGGTTCAAAGACACTGCCAGGTAAGGAAGAAAAACCTCAGTAAAAATCTTGGCACAGGGCCAGGGTTTAGACTGGATGATCCTAATGGGTCCCTTCCAACTCAGTATATTCTATGACTCTAAGAATAGCATTCTACCTAAAAAGTCTGTGGCTTTTCTGTTCAGCTTTTTCAACTCTTAACAAATTCAAATCTCAGTAGATTACAATATTGTATACTGAAATACATACTGTATTGAAATGATACACCAACAATCAGCCCTGCTTCAGGAGGAAATTAAAAATCAGGCTGCCAGAAGACCCTAAAGTGTTTTTAGTAATGCAAAGGCATCCTTTAGTTACGTAGTTATGGGGTAGAAAGAAAGGTATATACTGAAGATTTTATATTTGAGTTTAGGAATGAAGAGGGAATCAAGAGATTTGGAATAGGTATCCACTTGAAAAGTAGACTAATATTTGATACTCCTTATTTTATAATCTGATGTCCTGTAACACTGTGTGAAAAGGACAATATAATGATATTTTTAGCGAGCTCTTCTGCCAAAATAGAAATTGTGTCAGAGTCTTTTCTTCACTGATTTTCACCTTGGTAGATAATTCTAAATTATTAACAATTTGGAGCATTGATCCAAATCTCACCAAAGTCATTGCAAGTCGTGCATTTACTTAATAGGCCTATTTTGCATGTTGCACAGCATAGGGATACTATATATAGGAATACCTGACTTTTTCAGGTCAAAATCTGAATTGTTTCATGGTAAAAGAGACATACAAAAAGAAGTCAAGAAAAAAATACACCCAAGGAGAAGAGTAAAGAAAATGCATGGATGCTTTGTATGGGAATAATTGTTAATATTGCTTGTGGAGATTTGTTCTTATAAGTTATATATCCTTTAAAAGCAGAATTTTATGTGGTGATAGAAAGTGTGTGTGTTACACAAAAAAATCTGGACTTCTTCTTTACCTACTGTTCTTTATTTTCATTCTTCTAAGCACCATATGTAAAGGTGTATCTATTAGAAAATGGAGTCTGCATAGCCAAAAAGAAAACAAAAGTAGCAAGAAAAACGCTGGAACCACTTTATCAGCAACTTCTATCATTTGAAGAAAGTCCCCAAGGGAAAGTTTTACAGGTAATTTGCATAATATTCCTCTGAATCTGAAAATGTCACCTGTACAGTTTTCTCTGAATGACAGCTTCATTTGGCAAAAATTCTCATATTTTATGTACTTGCTGAGCAGATAAACACAACAGTAATAGCTGTTTATGCAAGTAGAAACTGAGTATGCAAGTAGGAGTGAGCAAAAGTGAGTTATAGGTTATTTTGCTTCTTCTGTATGTGTGGGCTCCTCTCACTGGGTTTTCTCTGGTATTGTGGATAACTGCAGTTTGTGCTCAGATCATTTCTGTCACTGCATCATGATTAGTATACACAGAACTAAACTATGTCAGTTGGATATTTCATTCCTTACTGTAATCAAATAAGCAGAGATTTTTGACAAATTAGATTAAATCTTTTGACATTTTTGCTGAAAGTTTTCTATTTTCTTGTGTTTCTTTTCCTAACAGATAATTGTTTGGGGAGACTATGGACGTATGGATCACAAATCCTTTATGGGAGTGGCACAGATACTTTTAGATGAACTGGACCTGTCCAACATGGTGATTGGGTGGTTCAAACTTTTCCCACCTTCTTCCCTAGTAGACCCAACCTTAGCTCCTCTCACTAGAAGAGCTTCCCAATCATCTCTTGAAAGTTCAACAGGACCTTCGTATGCTCGCTCATAGCAGCTGTGAAACTGTTGTCATAGCAACCAGCGTTACAAAAAAATAAAATTACAGGTCGCAAACCCTGGTAACACTGCATGCTTAATGTTGTGTCTTCTGAGCCTGTTTCTAGGGCTGCAAGGCGATCCTGTGTTCTCAAGGAAGTTGCACACATTGTGCCCTACGGAAGGCCCTCAGGTGATGGACTGAAATCATGAAGAACTGATAGGTTTGGAGTTCAGGGACTCAGTTTTGGTCCAATCTGAAGCCATGGACTAAACTAAAGAAATCAATCTGTTTCATGCAACAAAAGTCCTTTTCAATGGCATATCTGTTTTGTTGCTCCCATTTCTTTATTTATCTGCCCTCCCCTCCTAAAGTTTGGTTATGCCACAGAAACGGAGTTACCCTCCCATGAAGCCATGTTACAAGTCAGTGGATTAGCAGACATTGGAAGAAAAGAAGAATCTAAGGATGCTGGAAAAGTCAACTGACACTTGCAGCAGTTGCTGGAGATCTGAAAACTCTTCATATTGAAAAGGTTCAAGACTTAAAGTGGCAGGCTTCATACCTCCAGCTGTTCACACAGTGAACCCCAGATATGTTGGACTCTCTGAAAAATAAAATTCTGTGGATATACTGTACTGTATGAAATTAAGAAACTTTTTTGCATGGACACAGATTTAGCTGAACACTTAAATTATTTTCTTGGGGCTGCAACTTGCAAAAAAGAAAAAAAAAGAATAAATCAGCCATTTTCAACAGTTTATATTATTTTTAAAAATAAATTTCACTAGTGCATGGTTTTAAAGGGAAGAGAATGCAACAGGGTGATACAAAGGCACACCACGTTTATCATTCTTTAAACCAGTCATGGTCTGTGTTTTTGCAGACTTATATTAAAAATAAAAAATAATTTCTAGCAAATATTTAAAATTCTGTTTATGTGACAAAAATAAGTGTAATATATTAAATTTATTTAAATGTAAAAGGTACAAGCCTTGTAAAGTTCAACATAATGTGCAAATTGTACACTTATTTTACCTTCTTCTTTCTCTATCTCTCCTCCCAATCTCCCTTCTTCCTTATGCTCTTTTCCCCTCTACCTCCCAGGATGATCAGCATATTCCAAAATGGCTACCTTTTGAATTAATACTGTCATATGCCCCATATTTGGTTCAGGGTTGCAGATTGTTCTGCATTTCTGAATTATTTGAGAAAAATATTGTTTAAGAGCTTACTTTTTTTCAAGCATGTTGAAAAGGATTTTGCAACATGGCTTGGGAGTACATTAATGTAATTCAGCATGTATTTGATAAAGAAGATATTTGAACTTTTTCAATTTAATGTACAGTGCATGGTAACTTGTTTTCATTTTTTCTCACCTTCAAATTGAATTCTACAGCAAAATACTGGAATCATGTGGCCATTGTAAGATGTCTTCAATAAATTTGTTTTCAGCACCAGCATCTTTCATTCAAAGACTGAACTATTATTTCTTGAAGGTTTTTGGAAAGAGGAAAAATTAAGTACCTGATTGATTTTGAGGAAACAAATTTAAGCACTTTTATTTGCACTAAACCAAATTGATTGCTACCTTTTTGAAATAAACGCAACAAAGGTTACAAATCTCTACAGTTCTTCTGCTGTAAAGTTCAATTTTCATAAATTACATTTGCGTTGCAAAAGACATAATTAGATAATATCAGTCTGGAAAGTATCAGTCTTTGGTTCGTAAAATAGCCTTAAAGAAAGCTTATCAGTACCACTGTGTCAGCTATTTGACACCGTTGCCAGAACCTCACTGCAGTTAATGGATCTTCAAAACCCTGGGGTTTGTAGCAGACAGTAACTACCGTTGGGTGGTGCTGCAAGTTCAAGCTTCTCATTAAGTACGTTATTTAAAGGGAATGTAACTGGCTAAGTTTTAATAACAAAATATCCTTTTTTTTTTTTTCTGGGTCTTCGTATGCCTTTAATACCTTCTTAAGGTTTAATATTAAAATCTTGCAATAATTTTTGAAGTACATTACATTAACCTTTATGGCCACACAGAATTACTCTGATTTTATTTGAAAATCTACTGAAGTTTCCCATTACCAAATTGTACATGCCTCTTAAGAGAGAAAAAGTAATAACAGTATCACTTATAATGCCTTTTTCTTTGTGCAATATCATAGAAAATGAGATTGTGTCTTGTCTGCAGAGTTTATATAATGGATTATTGTTAAATTAATAGACAGACTGGTAAAATTGTATTTATTGAAATAATTTAGACACCTGTCTACCAGCAGCAAATAAATACTACTAACATGCAGTCTACAATATCCCCTAGGATATTAAACAAAAATACATAACCATTTTCCTGACACTGTGAGATGTGCTCACACATTCTTGTATACATAGTCCTCTATAAATTATTTCAAATTTTAAAATCAAGGACATGACGCATGGAAGGTTTGTACATAATTGTCATTATGCAGTATTTATTTTAAAAAAAATTATTGTATTTTTTTTAATTTTCACACGTCTGCAATTCTACTTATGGTTTAGTCATGTAAATAGTACTATTCCAGTGATCACTGCTGTCTTGTAAATAGTACGTTTTAAAAAGTTAAAAGGAATTACAGTTGGGGGAAAAAAAAAGGGCAGATTAGGCCTGTAATGAACACCAACTAATGTAAATCAAACTCATTCTGGTGATGGTATTTAACACTTTAAATAAAACATTTTCTTTACAGAATTTGTGTGCAGAATGTTGTTTTTCTCTAAGGTGGTCACAGCATCCTTCCACACCCTTCAGTGGAGCTGGTGGCAGGCAGCTGACACAGCTGGAGAACAAGCACGTTTTTCTTCTCCCAGCAGGGCTGCAGGTGAAATAAATGCCAGTGTGAAGATGCCAGGTTCACTGGCAGGCTGGGGGACGCCAGGTGTGCCCATCACCCAGCCAGGCCATGGGCTCTGCACTCTGGCCACCCTCAGGCTCCCCTGTGCCCCCAGTGTGCAGCTCCCAGGATGGAGCTGGCTCCAAGCTGCCAGCTCTGGCTCCAGGATGTGCTCCAATGTAACCAGCACACTAAATGTGCTGAGCCCATGAAGTGCTCCCGTCCAGTTAGACTTCCACCCTATTCCTAGATTCTACCTAGTATTAGCTGCCTTTTTTTTTCATGAGCAGGGTACAAATGATGCCCACCTGACAGTGGTAGCTGCAAAGGCTCATGTGTAGCCTCTGCAGAAGGGAGCAGTGGTCCAACACCTCTACAGCAATGAGAGGGGTGGGTGGAGGTGAGAGAGTAGAGAATTTGTCTCTACCTGACGCCTCAGAGGCAGTATCAGTACAGGCAGTGGTGCCTGGGCAAAATTTGAGCATTTAATACTTGGAAATTTATTGAAGACTGAGAGGCTGGCTGGCAGTTTGCACAGCAAAATGTATGTATTTATTTCCAGATATGACGTGAAAGAAAAGCACTGCAGTGCTGTCATGGGACAAAACCACCAAAAAAAGCAAGCAAATGTATTTTGGGCCAAGCAGTTGTGGGAATTGTGAAGATGGGAACTCCATTTGTTGTACTGCATCTGCAAGTGGGTTGCTGGAGGAACAGACACAGATTTCTGGTGTGTTAAACCACTAATACCCCAGCTGGTCTTTCTTCTGCTGCTGATAACATTACTGTTGCAAGGGTGTCAGGGCAGGCAAGTCTCTGGGTGGGAACCGGACTATAGGGGCAGGTGAGGCTGCCCCATGAGCTGGAGCACATCACTCCAGGGTGGACAGTAAAACACCTCCTCCCACAGCTGAACGTGAAACCTTGTCTGTCTTTGGCACTTGTTAGAAATATACACAATTACACTCAGTCCTTGAAAAGAGCGTTTGTACAGACCAAGAAAGCTATAACATACACTTTTCTAAAGGATCCTAGTCTCAGACAATTGCTCCAGATTGCTTGCTGTTTCCCCTCTCCAATTTTAGCTTGTCTATGTCCGCTTAATTTCCTACAAAACTAGATCGTTTTAATATTAACAGTACTGCTTTACTCATGACTACTAAACATTGGCTCAAGTGGCTGATTCATCTGGTTATGCTGGGAAGAGTTTGTGCCAATATAAAAGGCACTAAAACACCATGGTGCCCTAACTCTGGGGCTTTTCTGCTTCCATGCCTTCAGTTTTACAAGGCTTAAGTAGCATGATGTTTGCCATGTTGAGGGTGAGCATGGGGTCAGCACATCCTAACCAGCACACCATTGCATTCTCGCAGTTTCCCACTACCATAAAATATCTGTTCACAACTGTATAATAATTAAAATTTAATAGTTTTTAAAGAGATGTTTAATATGGCATAAAAGGTAACAAAGCAATAGGTTTCATAGCTTCCTCACAAAGGTAAATAATGCGTGGGAGTCTAGAGCAGTTTGTACTCCTTCCCTTGGCTCATACCTGTGCAATTCTCACCTCTCTGAGACCCAAGCAGCAAAGAGCAGACACCACAGCTGTAGATATCATAATCAGTTTCCAGTTGTGACTACCCTCTCTGTCCCTTCCTTGGTAAGTATTTACAGCAACACTTCACCAGGAGCAAGCAGCAGTGCAAGAAAGAAGATGCACATGTGCCCAGCAAAGATTGGTTCACCTTCAAAGGACAGGTTTATGGAACTTAGCTCAGCTGACAAGAAGAAAAATACAGCTATCTGCTACTAATACAATTGATAAATTAACTTCTGGGATTATTTGCTTAATACCTGCCTATTTTTGATGTCTTGTCTAGGATGAGTCACACTAGGGACATCTCTCCTCTCTCCATTGGCCACAGAGGCAGAAAGTGATGACTGGCTTGTGTTGAATTTCTACCTTCACAGCATCTGTGCTTAGGAGAAGCAGATCCAGGCATAGTAGCCAGAAAGAAGAATGAGGATTCCATAGTCTTTCAGTAGCAAGACCTATCTGAACTACCTGTATAATTGTCAGGACTGAGGGCAGCAGGCAGCCAGTAACTGATGGAGGAAATGAGTGTGAACTAATTTCCCAGATCTGACACTGTCATGTCAGGTCTCTCCTCAGCCCAGCCCCAGGCACTGATGCCCTAAAATATGACATGAGGTCATGGAAAGGAAACAGCATCCTAGATCTGCAGAGAGTGCAGGGCACAGGACTAAGGAAAAATTTGTCATAAGTGCTTATCCTTTGTGACAAGCCTCCCAGGGGCCAGTGGAGGGGGAGTTGCTGATCTCGTCTTTGGGGAGCACTGATAGGACACGGGGAAATGGAATGGAGCTGCATTGGCCAAAGTTCAAATTGAATATTAGGGAAAGGCTTTTCAATCAGAGGGTGGTCACTCATTGGAGCAGGTTCTCCAGGGAAGCAGTCATGAGTTCAAGATGTGTCTGGATAATGCTCTTAGTCACCTGGTTTAGGTAGTCCTGTGAGAAGCAGGGAGTTGGACTCGATGCTCTTTATGGATCCCTTCCAACTTCTGATATTACATGATTTCTTTGGACAGCTGTTAGGGCTAACTTAAGAGTTGCTAGTCAAAATCCTGTCTAGTTACAGTTTTGGTAAAGGAATGATCAGTGTTTTAAAGATTATATTTATATTAAGGTGTCACCATTTGCTGAAATGAAAACAAACCAAAACACCAACACTTGCTAGGCCAAAACTCAACTAGTAGGTCCTGCTATGCTGATTGTGCAAATGACACATGAAGAAAAGGGCCAGTACTCCCCTTGCATGTTACCCTAATTTGAATGCCAATAGCAACCAAAACTGTTATCCCCTTGATGAGAATTAAAAGAGATTTAGGTAATTCTGAGGGATTCACTAGTAATGTGAAATTATCAAAGTAGCAGATATTTTATTGATATCCATTATGATCCCCCTTTTGTTCCTGGTTAATTAGTATTTTAGCTGCAACATTCCTGAATACTGGCAAGACAGATCCCTGAAGATGAGGAAGAGTCATTTTTATCAGGCACCATCTCTCAGGGACCAGAACAGTGAGAGTTCTGCTGCTTGGGAAGAAACTCAGTTATGAAGCTTGAGGACTTTTGAAGTTTCTTCTTACAGTCTCCCTCACACTGGGAATGACACAAAGATTTTCTTTATCTGACAGTTTCTCAGCCCATACTCTGATTCCATACCAAATTCTGAGGTGTGATTTTGTGTTTTGGAATTTGCACTCAAGACTCTCAGATCTGCTAACCTGGTCTTCCAGATGCCTTAGTTACCATCTGCCACATGCCTGAGGTGTCAGTGCACACAGTTACCCAACCTCATGCACGAACAAATGAGTCCTGTCCTTCACTGTGTTTTGGCTCTACAAGCACTGTGTTTTGGCTCAGCAATCTGGAAGCCAGCAGCTCTGGCTCTCTAGAAACAGCCCTGGGGCAGGATGGCACTTCACCAACAGACAACTTTATTCTTCACTAGCAAAAATACAACTTGGAGAATTGGCATTTTTTATACATCCTGATACACTTTGGCCATTGAAATAAAGTGAGAGCTAAGAAGGGTAGATCTCAGAGTGAGCCAAGAAGAATTTGGGTAACATGAAGGGAACAAGGCCACTTAAATCACTTATAATGCACCTGCATTTCTAAGTTGTCCCCTAAACACGAGTCAGGTGATAGATAAAGAAATGTTGAATGGAGATACAGAGGTCACACATTCCTGTCAGCACCTGAAAGAATCTTAAACAAAACAAAACAATGTTGGCACAGTTCCAAGCTCTGAAAGTTTCATGAAGATTACGAACTAAAGAAAATGAACATAAGAATCCTCATTTTGGATTGCTGAAAATTCTTCTCATTTGTAACCTAGGATTTCTTGGTTTTAATTAGTATGGTATCAGTAAAAATCACAGTATCTGTGCAGCTGTAGGACTAGTATCTTTAGTTATACATGTTTAACTAAGAACATATTTTTATATTGTTTTCTTTACCTGCTTAGGCACAGTTTTTATTTCCTTGTTTTCTTTTAGAATGATCCAGAACCAAGATGTTTCCTTGTGACTTTTCCACATCTCATGCATGTCTGATACTTAAAATATGAGTAGGTGCCTTAGGCAACAGATTCAGAATATAGTTTTCTTACAACCTCAGCAGCTTTGCTTTCCTAACCAAGTGTTGAGTTACAAACTTAGTTGTGACAGCTGGGAGTCAGCATCAAGCCACAGTTATAGTGCAAGATGGATACTCAACCTGTGTTCAGACATCTGATTTAGGTGAAATTCAGAGGGCCAAAATTAAGATTCTGTTTAATTGCACTCAATAAGAAGAGACAGGAGGACCTCCATGGTGACTGCAATTTAGGATCTTCTGGAAAGCCATTTTGAACACTTTTCACTGTCAGCTACATATGAGGTCAAAGATAGTTCAGCTTCCAAGGCAGGTGATGCACATATCTCCTAAAATGAGCATGCCACTCTCTGAATAAGACATAGAAGACTATCAGGTCCTTATTCCCTTCAGTACTTTTTGCTCCCAGAAAACATCTGGGAAAATTTCCCCCTGAGAACTGAATGAGAATGAAATTGAACATTGTGAAAGCAAAAATGTGGGGAAGAGAAAAATGGACCCACTGAAGCTTCTCCATCTGTCATGCAAACCTCAGTCCTTCAGACTAGCACCATGGCTGACCTTGGCCTCAGTGAGAGGCCATGGCATGAGATTTGGCCATATTCCTGCTCTCAAACAGCTACTTGAGCTCCATTTGCAGACAGCAAGGTGTCAGCTGGCTGCTGGAACCCTA